ACTTTAATTTGCATATTATTTAGTTCATTTATGATCTATTAACTTTAATTCATGGTAGTGTTTAAGTTTTTGGAGTTATCCAAGGCAGATTTAATAACTTATTCTGTAGAAAAGCATCCCTTCCCTTTGCAACGAGGAAAGACCAGGAAAGACCAGGAAAGAGAGGATCTTTGGGAAAATCCTTCTTTTTTACTTTATAGCAAAACAAGTGGCACACTCACATTTAGATTTTGCACATGCAAAGCCACTTGAGGATTTTTGATGAAATCATATCATTGTGACTTTATTGATCCCTTGACTCATGATCCTCAAACCCTTTATAATATAACTTGTACAAACAGTCAAAAGGTGACAAATTTCTTCATCATATTTTAATTGTCAAAAGTCAAGCCAAATATGATAGGATATGATACACACACTGTTGTTCATACTCCATTATCAAATTCAAAACTCATATCATAGAATAAAGGAATACGACCACACAAAATTGCTAAGTCATAGCGCCAGTGTAATTGGATAACATATACTAATACCCAAACATATCAATTATCATGTGTTTGTGTTCAAATGCATTCCACCCACTGGCAAGGATGGTTTTTTTTTCCTCTTTTTGTCGATGCTACCCCTATTTGATTTTGACTACTAATTACTTTGATCTTGACATAACTCAAGAAGTGTTTTACAAAGGTTATTACGATAAATTCAAGAATAGATGAACGGAGATTTAAGAAAACTCAAAAGGGTTTATAACCCATTATCAAAAGTTAAAGAAAATAATTTTTTTTGATAGTTTAAGTGTTGATTTTAAGACTAAACCCTAAATTTAACTTAAAAAACAACTCATGAGATCCAACCTTAGTTTAGAAAATTCAATATAATCCTAGATTATGAGGGTGTTTTAGTCAAGTCAAAGAATATTGTAGTATTTTTACACTTTAATATTATATTATGAGTTTTTTAAAATATATTTTTTGGCCACGAATTTGTATAAAAAATACAAAAGTTAATTTTAGTATCAAAGCCAATAAATTTAATTGAATAATTTTTTTTAATTGAATTGAATGGTTAATAAATTGAATGTCAATTTTTACTTTTTTTAATATAAAATTATGACAAAAAAATTCATTGTTTACATCTTTAACCATGCATCTTAGTGCATATGCTAGAAAACCCTAATAAATAAAGAGTAAAATTAGAATTTTTTTAGTCATTTTTTAAAGAAAAAACATTCTTTCAACTTTCTTAGTATTAAGTTTATTCCATACATGAATTTATTATTGAAGCCATTAAAACTTTAACAAAACACATCTTATCAACATTCTATATAAAACTCTACTTAATAAAAGTAGTCAAAAATCAATTCAACCGAACTGTAAACACTACTACATAGAAGTAATACTTTTTTGAATAAAAATATTTTCAATAAAGTTAGACTTCAGTCAAAAGGACCGGTGAAAAAAAAACAAAGTAGGAGTAGAAATAAGGCGATATGTTGGGCCAACAAAGCAAGGAAGGGTTGGTACCACATTAATTATTAATATTTATAATTTAAAATATTTAACCTATTTAATTAACCCCATTAATTAAGAGCTATTTTAAAAAAATTATTTAATATTTATGTTAAGGGTATAGATTAATAGTATATTAAATATACTTTTTATAATAAATTTATATTAAAAAATAAAAATTAATTTTTAATTTATTAATTATTCAATTAAATTCATCTTTTAATTTATCAATTATTCAATTAAATTCATCTAACACTAAGATTAATATCAATTTTAATATTTTTATACATATTTATTATAAAAAAAATACTTTTAAGGTATAACCTAAAATAATTCTTTTAAAAAAATTAAAAAAACCAACGTTTTTATAAACCTTTTGTTATCTAACAAATTATTGATTTAAGTGTAATAAAATTTTGAGTTTAAATTTTTTAAATAAATAAATAAGAACAAAAAAAACTTCCCTTTTATAAGATATAATATAATTTAATTTTAAATTAATTCAGATTCAAATCAACTAATTTTTAGATGCCAAGTAATTAATTAAAAAACATTTTCTTATTTCTCTTTGTATAATTTTTATATAATTTTTAAAAATTATTAAATAAATAAATATACTTAATATTAAAATAAAGAGAGTATCAAATAATAAATAAATAAATTGATTATTTAAATCCGAGTTAAGGATCTACTAAAATTAATCCAAAAAAGTTTCTTCTTGAATCATTTTCCTTTGATCCCCTGCAGCTCTGCACGCCTTTCGCCGCCTTCTGCGTACATTTGGGGGGAAGGGAGAAAACTCCACATCAGATGTTCGAGCTCAAATTCTTCAAGAAGATCCCTCCTATTTTACATCCCATTTTGTTGCTATTTTTAATGCATTTGGATTAGCAAATTTTGACTGCTCCAATCCAAGGAAAGGAACTCTAATTCTCTTGAAATTTTATTCTTTTCCCATGATTCCAGTTTGTTGGGATTATTTCATGGTTGACTTGAATTTTAAAATTGCACACCATCTGTTCAATTGGGGTTTCTCTAAAATTGTTGATTTGTCCTGGGTTTCAGTTTAATGATGGGAAAAGTGCAAAAGATTAAATTTTTTAAGGTGAAGGAACTTGATTTGGAGACTACTTGCGTTGTGTGTTTGGGAGCTATTAAAGAATTGGTTTGAATTTGACTGATTCTTATCTTTAATTAAACTCCTTGTAAGTTTCTTTTTATTATTATTATTATTATTTTATTTTTTAAATTCTGTTACTTGTCGATAGGGACTGCGGTATATTAAAATGTAAGTTTTATTTCTGTAAATTATAGTAACTGTAAAAGAAGTACTCTTTTTCAATCCTTGTAACTTGTGTTGGGATTGTCTTGTAGTGGAGTTTTCTTTGTCCATGAAAACCTTGTTGGCTTCTTCTTTATTCATGTATTTGTTTTTGGGTTCTTTTGAACTGTGCATGGAGAGTCATGAGTAGTGGTGGAGGGTACCAACAATGCCTGATTGCTTGAATTTGGAGCATTTCTGAGGAAGAAGCAGTTGTTTTTTCATTTTTTTCTGTTCATCATGCCTCTGTTTGAGCTATACCAAATGACTAAAGGGAAGGTTGCATCTTCTGATGA